AAAACAAAACAACAACAGCGAATGCTTACACTCAGAGATAGCTTGTCATCTTCGTTTAGGAATGCCTATTTTCCACTCTTTCAACAACACACATCCAGCCCACCTTGTGACCTGTCATTGGAAGGCTTTAGGCATACCAAAATGAAAAGATACGATCTCTGCCTGAAGGAATCTGGCGATCTAATGGGCACCCAAATGAATGTGTGTCTAAAGTACAGTGTTAGGTTAGGAAACAGCCCCCACACATGCCATTTGCCAGGGTGAGTCACAGCTTACCTATTATTTGAGGTGACAGAATCATATAGAGTGCAAGTGACATATTCACCGTGCTGTATCCCTGAAATCTTTTCATCTGTCCCAGCTCTCTATTGCCACTGAAACGTTTCTATTTTAATCCCTTGTCTTTCCATCTATTAGAGTAGCACCCCATTGAGTCTCCAGAGGAGAAACTCCTGATCTCTACTCCCATGATTACAGGGTCAAAAACAGAGAAAAAAGAAACTTCATTGTGAGTCTCAAGTCTACCCTTGACACTGCTGAAAGTTACCTAAGAGGTAGAAATAATTATGGGATTCTTCTGCTTTTTCCTGAAAGTGTTCACTCTGATTTTCTTAGCAAGGAATTTAAGGCCCTTTGTAATATAATATGACGTTGATCTGCCTTTCTGCCACTATTTCCCATTAACTTCATATTCCATCCTAGAGAAGACAACATTTCCTGAGTATACCATGAATTTCCACAACTTCAAAATGCAACTCTAGTGAAATCAGGTTCGTGAAGTTTTCCCTATTCTTCAGGCAATGTAAATTACTCTCTCTTCAGAGCCTTTAACTCCTATATCTAGAAAAGCACTTATCATAGTCTATAAACACTTTTATTGTATAAATTAGTGCTTTAACTACAGTCTAAGCAATATGAAGACAGGAAAGAATCTTCCTCTTTGAATCCCCAGCATCTAGAAATGTCCCTAGCATATGACAAGTGTTTGATAAATGTCCTTTGAGGGAATGATGATGTAGATGATTTTAATAAAAGTGTTGTGTGCCAGTGCCTTGATCAAGTTGGTGCTGTGAATGAGTTTTGAGGCATAGTTTGCTTGTTTGAAGGCAGTTTCTTTCCTGTTTAGGAAAAAAAAAAAGCAGCTCAAATGAGTCTCCCAAAAAAGTGAACTGAGGTATTAAGGCTTCCGGCTCTGTGTTGCCCACTAGTGGAGCCTGTGCTATGCCAAGTGGGGCCTGTTTAACATCCTTGGAAGGGCTCTCTTGAAGTAGGTACACTTTCTAGGGCAAAGAAATGAACAATCACTGCAAAAAGTCTTATTACACGTTGGGAAACATTTCTGGAATTTCTGCATGGGATTGTTCAAAACAAACCTCTCCATAGCTGACTCGCTAGCTGTTTTTTATTATTTTTTTAAGTGAAAGCAAACTTGTTAGAAAAGTAAAGGAATAAAGAATGGCTACTCCACAGGCAGAGCAGCCCCTAGCTGGTTTTTAAATCTCCTTCTCTTGCTGCTTGTGACACATCTCCATATTTCATTTGTTTGTTTCCTTATCTAGATGTGAAGTGATCATTTGAAGGGGTCCTTTGGTTCAAGTCAAATGCATGCCTCAACCCAGCAGAGCCAAAGGGATACTTGTATGATGTACATCAGATTATGTCATTCTTCTGCTCAAAACTCTCCAATAAAAGCTCACCATTCCCTTCAGAGAAAAGCCAAAGGCCTTTAAATGGCCAACAAAGCCTATGATCTGCCCCCTCCTCTTCTCCCTTTACTTCTCTTCATCTCTCCCGCTGACTCACTTGATTTCAATCCTACTTGCCTGGTATGTTCCTCCAGTAACACTCCCACTTCAGGGACTTTGCACTGACTGTTTCTTCTGCCTGGAGCCCACTTTCCCCAGCTTTGCACATGGCTAACTCCCTTACTTTCTTCAGGTGCTTGCTAAAATACCATCCTCTCAATGAGGCCTACCCTGAGCATCCTATTTAAAATTGTAATCTGCTGGTCCCTCCCCCTACAAACTCTCAAATTTCATCATCTTTCTTTACGTTTTTGCTTATAACACTTATCACTTTCTAATATACCATATAATTTACTTATTTACATATTTATTTCTTAATATCTATAACTGTCTACGAGAATACAAGATCCATGAAGTCAGGGACCTTTTTCTGTTCTTAATGTTGTATTCCAAATGGGAGACTGTTGCTTGGCTCATTGTAATCACTCAGTTAATAGCTCTCACATTAATTAATCCTTGCCACCTCTTCTGTGCTGGAATTTGTCCATGATAGAAGCCCCCTGATCTGCCAGACTAGTATTGTCCTAATATTTTATTCAGTCCAGATTCTGTAATGCTTTTATTGTCAGTAAAGCATGTGAAAGGAAAATAAATCTTGAGTCCTCAAATCACTAAGCTAATACAATTCCTCTTTTTTTTTTTTTTTTTGGAGTTTTGCTTCCAACAAGGAAAGCAAGATTTCCTGTTTCCATGATGATGGAAGGCAGGTAATTCCTTTATGGAGTTTGAGCTCGCTTCTGACATGGAAGATGAGATTTTTTTCCCCCTGCTTCTAGGAAGGTAGAGAGTGGTCTACAGCCTGAGACTCATCCCTAGGTAAGTAACTGAATTAGGGTTTGTCTTGGTTAAATTTAAGATTAACAACCAGCTGGTCTTAATTTCTCCTTACCATTACAACACTCAGTGATCTTATAAGTTGTGCCATCATTTGTTTTGCTTATTGTTTCTTTGTTGTTTCAGCCTTTTCCCATTGGGTTGATCAACTCTATCTGACTTTATCAAATCCAAAGGAAGTTGCAAATGATGGGGAACAAGGCCTCTGAAATGGCTAAATTCCCATACACACACAAAAGATGGTGTTGTGGTTGGGGAGAAAAATGGCCAGCAAAAGGAAAAAAAAGAGGAAACATTTTTTATTTTGACTAATAAAGGGGCCTTATTTACGTAACAAGGCCACCTTTTTCCCAGCCAGGCCAAACTGAAAGCAATGGCTGTTGCCCATACTGCAGTTTGATAGCTAAGGTTCTGCCTTCTTATTTTTCCCATCATGACAGCCTGGGTTTGGTTCCTATATCAGTTTGATACTTGGTACTGCTGAAATAGCAGCAGTTTGTCCTAGTTGAAATTTAGTAATGGGATTTTAAAACATTTTTTTTTAAAGGAGATCAGTGGTTAAAAGTCATCTTAATTAAAAGCTAACATCCAAAATGTGTGCGTATGTGTGTGCATGTGTGTGTGTTTGTATTTAAAAGGCCTTCATGGTTTTTTTTTTCCTCCTAGGATCCTTTTTATTGGAGCAAAAGTTTTTTCCTCTCACTTGACTGAATTTTGTTTTCTTCACTAATGGCTATTGCAACAGAGGCTACTCTGGGGTTTTTAAGGAAGAGTGTTTTAGACACTTAGAAATGTCTTTGTTAAAAAAAACTTTTAAGTGTACTATAAAAGCAGCAGTGGTCTAATCTCAAAATAATTCCTCTGCCCAGAGCTCAGAGATCCATTTAAAAAATAGGTAGTTCCTATCTAAATAAAATTGGTCTCCTTATTACAATCCTTGATAGATTTCCATAATGTTATGTTTGACTTGGCATCCATCTTTAATCTCCCTCTAGCACCACCAGACATTTTCTCTCTGTACCTTATGATGTAAATTTTGCTATTTTATTTTCACCTGAGTTGTTTCCTTTAATATGCAAATTTAAGGCTACTTAACTGACAGCTGCCTCAGGCTGTGAAAAGGTTATCAAGAATCTGAAAGTCTGAGATGGGGAAAAAAAGATATTTATGAATCTATAAGAGTACTTCTATCGGCATGCCTAATACGTCTATGTATTTATGTGTTGTGTACATAATGTTTCACTACTGAAAATATGTGAGAACTCTAAATAATTGGCTTAAAGAAAAATAAAAGCACTTAAATCAAATACTTTATCAGAAAAAGGAAAGGCTAGTCAAATGCTTTTTCAAGTTTACGTGACTTAAGTAAAATCTTTAATAAATAAGCTAGCTTTAAAATTATTGGTAAAGTAATATTAGAAATGTCTTAAGAATTGCCAGCATACAGTTTTGTTTGCTTTTATTAACCAAGCAATTTCATACTTATCCCTGCCAAATACTATAAGGTGTCAAAATTTAGCACAGGGGTTACAAAACTCTAAACCTATCCCAATACAGAATGAACTTTCCTTGTATGATCCTTAATAAGTAAGACATTGATATTGGTTTAATGAAAATAACTACATTTTGAATTATTTAGTAAAATTACCATAACTTCTAATCTTGTGGCTTTGGGCAGTATATTCCACAGGTAGTAAGGAGATACGTTTTGGGAAAGGACTGTTACCATCTTTGTTTCAAAGCTAAACTATAAACTAAGTTCCTCCCAAAGTCCAGGAATGAATAAGGATAGCTTGGAGGTTAGAAGCATGATGGAGTAATATATTTTCTACTGCCTCAGTTAGAATTTTGCAATGGTGAATTTCATAACTTTAAATGATGACTATCACAGTTTTCATAAATAATCATTCTTTCTAAAAAAAAAAAGTGTCCTTTTTAAAAAGGTGAACAATTTTTGTCAATTCAAATCTTATTTAAAGGTTATGTATAAAACAAGGTAAAAGGAACCAGGAAATAAGAGAAATGCAAAGAAAGGTATAGAAATAAAGATGTGTTTTTTGCTAAGAAAGCTTAAAGAGAAATAATTTTGTATGAGAAAGGATTGAAACCACCTTTGTAAAAATCATAACTGAGAAAATGATGACAGTGAAAGATATTAGACCTAACTGACCCCATCTTGCTTCTAACCTCTAAACTGTCCTTATTTATTCCTGGGCATAGGCTGAACTAGCTTTGGGAAGGAATTTGGTGTATAGTTTATATCATAACCCTTCCCAAAAGGCTAAACTGTTCTTGTAAAACAAATGAAAGGCCACAGGCCACGAGCCACCAAGTCAAGATAAGAGGGGCTGGAATTCTAAATATTACCCACCATTATTCCTGAGATCAGATTTGTAACTTCCCCAATTACTCTTGAAATAATCACTATTGTGAACCTAAGTTCATCCTTCTGAAATGTCTTTTCAGGTTTTTGCATTTATAAGAACCAGATAGCCCCACCTGGACCTACCAACCAGTTCTGTGGCCCCCACCTGGGAACTGACTCAACAGGTGAGAACAGCTTTGACTCCCTATTATTTTATCCCCAAGCCAACCAATCAGCACTCTCAATCACTGCCCTACCCCTACCGACCAAATTATCTTTAAAAACACTGATACTCAAGTTTTCAGGGAGACTGATTTGAGTAATAAAACTCTGGTCTCCTGCACAGCTGGCTCTGCATGCTGTGAGATTGCAATAGAGAAATTCTTTCTCTATTGCAATCGCCCTGTCTTGATAAATTGGCTCTGTCTAGGCAGCAGATAAAGTGAACCTCTTGGGCAGTTACAGAATATTGTATGGTAAATTTAGACCTAGAATAAAATGACTGTTTTTTTAAGAAAGAAGAATGTTCAGGACAAACCAGAAAGTCCAAACATGTCATTAATGGCATGTGTAAGTCACAATAAAAGGATTTATTAAAAAAAAAAACAACTCATATATGATCAAGTTGTCTATAATTAAAGGGAAAATATAATGGTCTTTCTAGAGGTTGGGCTTGATGTAAAAAAAAAACACTTAAACACTAAAGAATTGATTATAACAATAAAATTTCCTAAAGGGATTGATTTACTCTTAATAAATTATAAGAGATTTAACATTTTTTTAACCCAAAGTTCAACTTTTGGTATATCTCACTGTTTTCTGTTTTCTCTCCCTTTTTAAAATGGGTGAAATATAACACTCTCCTTCAACTCATTTTCAGCTCATATAAGTTTTTTTTTTTTCCCTCAAGTTCTGTCTGTTGTGGCCCAGTGCTAACAATACGTTCTTAAAGATGTAAAGGAAATGTTTTCTTCCAAAATAATATTCTATACATTGCAAGTCTTTTCTTTTGCCTTTTGGTAACTGGCCTAACAGATTTTACGTTTTATTAAAATAATTCATATACCATTATAATTAAAGTTTTGGTTTGCTTAGAAAATACTTGGGTTTAAATTTTTTTTAATTGAGGTTATTACATCCATGTATCTTTCTGTGTGTGATTTTAAAGTGCTTGTGACATTAAGTTACAGGGCTTTGACTCTGGGTTTAAAAAAGACAATAAGCCTTGCTAAATCTTAAACACTGACAGCAATTAAAGCCTTATCCTCAGGCCCCATAGAGGATGCCAAACAAAATAAACTTCATTCCTGAGACACAGAGTGAGAAATTAAAGCCATTCAATTCCACAAGGCCCAGGGACTACTGCAGAAGAGGTAGGCATGTGAGGTTGTGAGGGCAGATTTTAAGAGATAAAATAAGTTCAGTTTTTGTATAATTTAACCATTAATGTCAAAGGCACACTAATGCAAGACTAGCATATGGGTAAAATTTGGAAAACAAATTTAATTGGCTTCATGTTGTTTTTATTAGGGCTTATTGTTTGGAAAATTAAGTGTTCTCGCTCAAAGAATGAGGTTTTCTCTTTTTTTGAAGTCCTTGAGTTATCACTTTGGTGATACCAAGTATTTTATTTATTTTGTGATATCAAGTATTTTATTTATTATTATTATTTTTTAAGATAGAGTCTTGCTCTATTGCCCTGGCTGGAGTGCAGTAGCCTGACCTCAGCTTACTGCAATCTCTGCCTCTCAGGTTCAAGCAATTCTCCTACTTCAGCCTCTCAAGTAGCTGAGGCTACAGATGTAGTCTGCTAATTTTTGTATTTTTAGCGGAGATAGGATTTCACCATGTTGGCCAGGCTGATCTTGAACTCCTGACCTCAGGTGGCCTGCCCACCCTGGCCTCCCAAAGTTCTGAGATTACAGGCATGAGCCACCACATCCAGCCTGGTATCAAGTGTTTTAAACCTTTGACATTTGACAAATTTTTCAAAATCAAATTACAAATTATGTCTTTTCTGACCAAATTAACCCTTTAAGATATTATTAATAGGTTCCCTAAAGTCCAAAAATGACATATTTGGCTTATTTGGTATAGAAATTATACAGGAAGCATTGTCAAATATGAAATGGTGTTTAGTTTTCCTTGGGCTGTATTTGTATAAATATGTTACTGGTAGTGTTCAAAAATTAAGTGAAAATCCTATAATTCTGCTACGACTTAGTGTATGTTATTAGCAATAATTATAATTGTTACGTTAAATTATTGTGTGACACAGAGGTAACAAATTTCCTTGTCAATTGTGTCTTTGACTATGGCTGCCCTTGTTGTCTTGTTTTGGTCCTCTTTAGAAGGTAGTTTTATAATCAGCTATAAAACTCTAACAGGTGCTCTTGAATGCAGGTTTCTGACAACTTTGGCAACTGTGGCATCAGAACAGAGGAAAAACTTTCAGGGCTCATGGAGAGCTGAAATGTTCTTGAATATCAGGCAGAATAGGAATTAACTGCATGGACTAAACTAATAAAAGCCTAAAATATTCTTTTTAACTTTTTGCTTAAAATGTTGCTGATCCTTTGTTTTTTCAGAGTCAAGAAGACTTTTAATCTATTTACAGCTTTCAACAATTGAGTAAAGTATACTCCTTTGAACAAAATTTGGAGCATACTTGTTTCTACCTGATTTCTACAGAATTTGAAAACTATTTGTGAGTATTCTTAATTTATTATAATAGTTATTTGCATAAGTGCAATAAGAATCTGTTTTCATTTGTAACAGGACACAACTGGAGAAACTGGTTATTTTACCAAGGCTTTGACTGGAATGGTGTGCTTTCCTTTAAGGAATAAAACTTGACTTATGTAGCCAATAAAAGCCCCTTGGAAAAACTGGCCTCATACCTTTGTCTACACAGTCCCTCTACAGGGTTCCTGACCTGTAGTAAGTAAAGAATGTCACTTTCTGACAGGCCCAGGAGCCCCAAGTTTATCTTGGAACTCCAAAAGGAGAGGATCACCCAACTCATAGGTATTTGATGGTCCAAATCCATGGCTGGGCTCGGCTTTAAAAAAGTCTTATCTGAGGTTCCTTCTACAGAACAAAATTCCATCAAAGCTAATTTAAAAGCCTGTGTAAAAAAAAAATTATCTTTGCTGCACTGTATGCAAATAATCAAGCCAAGTATAATAAAGCAAATCAGTCCTACCATGATTTATCTTTTGTAAAAATGGGAAGCTGAAGAGAAAAAAATTATGATTCAAAAACTATAGTACACTTGATATGGTTTCGCTGTGTCCTCACCCAAATCTCATCTTGAATTGTAGCTCCCATAATTCCCATGTATTGTGGGAGGGACCTGGTGGGAGATAATTGAATCACAGAGGGCAGTTCCCCCCTACTGTTCTCATGGTAGTGAATAACTCTCATGAGATCTGATGGCTTTATAAGGGAAAACTCCTTTGCTTGATTCTCATTCTCTCTTGTCTGCCACCACTTAAGATGTGCCTTTTGCCTTTTGTCATGATTGTGAGCCCTCCGCAGCCATGTGAAACTATGAGTCCATTAATCCTCTTTTTCTTTAAAGTTCCCAGTCTTGGTTATGTCTTTATCAGCAGCATGAAAATGGACTGATACAACACCTGTTGTTAGATTCTAGTCTTGCCTAATGTTTTTCAATTTTTATTATTTTCTACAGTTTGGACTTAATTCTAATTTTTCTTGGCTACAAGCCTGCAAAATAATGTTTTTAATTTTTTCCCTTTTTCCCCCCCATTTTTCCTAATTTGGAGTAAAAAAATTAAGCTATGCTTTTGTAAAGCCCTGTGAACTGAAGTTAGACAACTAAACTTCAGAAGAAAATAACAGCAACCTATTTACATACACAAGCCACTTTCATAACTGCCTACTGCTACATGGACTTCAAAGCAATGTGGCCTTTATTGATTTCCCAGGATTCTTTTGTTCATTGTTTTTCTCCCTTTCTCCCCTATTTTCTGTTCATAGGATATGAGACTTCACAGCCTGCTAAAAATGAGCTCTCTTAATAACCCGTCTAGGAATAAACCATCCTAACCATGAGAGATCAGACAAAATGTGAGACCAGAGACTCATTTTCTTCTAAAATGCTTTCTCCAAAAGATTTTTTAAAAGAAAAAGGGGGAAATGTGAAAGGAAAATAAATGTTGGGGCCACCAAATCACTAAGCTAAAGGGAAGAGTCAAGCTGGGAACTGCTTAGGGCCAACCTGCCTCCCATTCTATCCAAAATCACTCCTCTGCTCACTGAGATAAATGCATATCTGGCTGCCTTCTTTCGAGAGGCTAATCAGAAACTCAAAAGAATGCAGCCATTTGTCTCTTATCTGCCTATGACCTGGAATCTCCCTCCCCACTTCAAGTCTTCCCACCTTTGCTTCGAATTGTCCCTCCTCTCCAGACAGAACCAATGTTCATCTTGAATACGTTGATTGATGTCTCATGTCTCCCTAGAATGTATAAAACTGAACTGTGCTCTTGCTGCCTTTGGCACATATTGTTAGGACCCCCTGAGGCTGTGTCATGGGTGTGCATCCTCAACCTTGGCAAAATAAGCTTTCTAAATTAGCTAAGACCTGTCTCAGATTTTTGAGGTTCCCAAGCATGTTGTATCTTTCCTTAGGCCCAGGAAACAAGATGATACAAACAACTGATCAGAGTTGCTTTGCAAAATTACCACAGTTGGGGAATCCAGCAGTCATCCTCATCCTAACCAGCTTCAGACTATAGATTTCCACTTCTAGTATTTTTTTCTTCATAAAACTTATTTTCCCATAATAATCATTGTGCCTATCCAGAACCTAATTCTTAGCACCAACGTGTCATTGTAACATATAACACTGATGCAAGCAAAAATACTGGAGTCTGAATTTAAATCTGATATCTGTTAGGTGATAAGACCATAGGGAACTTAAGTGAACCCATTCTGCACACAAAATTCAGTGCATATTATGGTGAATGGGAGTATCTGACCTTGTAGTTAATTTGGTTTTTATTTTACAAAGACAAGACTTTAGCTCAGGTTAATTCTCATTTCAGGAGAAACATAGTATATTTGGCTCAGCACCTGAGATGCTCTCCAGTTGTGATGGTAGCATTCCTCATTCTAGGGATTATGGACGCAGGCCAAGCCTGCTCCTTGATACTGAAAGTAAGCAGCAGAATCTGCCCAGCAATCCTTAGGGGACTTGTCAAGTGTCTGGAACCTAACACACAAAAGAGAAGGGCCATTTTATGCTGGGCCACCTCTTCTAGTCCATTCCCTCTGCCTGTTGTCTATCTGATGCAGCAGTGCTGGAGCTTTGTGGCAGATGTATTCCTAAGTGGTGGTGGGTGGTCTAGAGGGGGATGTATGAAATGCAATTTAAGAAACCAGCTTATTTGGCCAAGGTTGGGGGATACATTTTCTGTAACAGATAAGAATAAATGGTTACAGGACTTCAATACTTTGTTACTGGATTTAGACTCGTATATGAAATGAAATAAATGGCCAGATAGGTGCTAAGAATTTAAATAGTTCACTTGTTATACCGATTGTTTCACAAGATACAAGCAATTCAAAACTGAATCTTCCATCTCTCTTCCAAGTTCTCAGTCTAAAGAATGAACTCTTGTGAAAAGAGGAAAGGGAGACATGAAGCTTGGGATTGGGAGTAGATGTGTTAGAGGCTAAGAGGTGGAAATGCTGGCCTTCTACCGACTACCACCTAAAGAGCTCACTATCACAAGATAAGATGACTTTCCTGTGAAATCCATTCCCTCCTTGAGCCCTGTGGCCTGACATAGATCTGAGACAATCTGGGAGATACACTCCAGTTACTTAATGTTAAGGAAGATTAGGAAATGGAGCCCAAGGAAGTTAAGCCAAATCCTGGGATCACAGACTGGACTCTGATAGTTTCAGACATCACTTATATATAGATACTCCCTCACTCAGGCTTCCATTCCAGTGGGAAAACATACTCCTGATAGTCCTGTATGTCCCTGATTTGTCTGCTTTTGTTGAGTCTTGAGTCATGGGTAATATTAGGCATATAGCCGCTCCCTTTCTCTGTGTTCATACAGGTCCATTCATTCATCCAATAAATATTTTCTTAGCATGTACCTGCCAAGCATGGTTATAAATGCCAGAGATATTGTACCTGCTCTCAGGTCCTCACAGTCTTACCCACATTCACAAATAGAGACATGCAGATTTTATTGGAAAAAAAATTAACTGGCTGCTACGCAAAGCTTTAAACTGAGGTGAACAGGACTATCTTCACCTGGTAGTCAGGGTAACTGGGTTTCAGCCCAGAATCTTTCACTGACAAGCTGTGTGACCTCGGGAAAGTCACCTCTCTTTTCTGGCCTCATCTTCACCTTCTGTAAAGTGAGACCCTTGGTCTAGGATGGGTGATCTCTAAGCTTCTTTCTCAATTTCACATTTTGTAATAACCCATTTTTTAATAAATATAGGCCCTGTGTCTGTTGTAGGAAAAGCTGATATTATTATCTGGGGAAAATTAATAATAAGCCTAGATTTTTTTTTCCTAGTGCATTGTAGGAACTAGTATATTTTCTAAGCCACAGCAGGAACTGTGGCCTGAGCTCAAGGAATGGTATAGTACAGGCCTCTCAGACCTTCACATACCAGAACTTCAGAGAAAGCTCATGGTAAAAGCAATCAATACAGCATAGCAAAGAAAAGACAGATGACAACTGCAGTGGCTTCTTGCCCCGCCTTGATGAGATGGGAAGGGGAAGATAGCAGGTGGGGCAGACAAGGCTGCCCTTGGGACAGTTTGTGCTTCACAGTGTTGTGAAGTCCAAGTAAGAGGGTTTTGTCTATTCTTTTTTCTGTGTGTTTAAACAGAGTTATACAACAACTGAATTAGTCTGCTTGCCCAAACACCCTGCCATAAAAATCATCAAACAAGCATGGAAGAATCTTACTGCTGGGCCTTTGCCAGCAGAGTGCTAGGATTTCTGGAAGCTGGGCATCTTCTCACACACAGTGGCCAGCATTGGCTTTGGAGTTTCTTACCTTCTCCTAGTGCCTGAGAACTTCGATTTGCCCCCAAAGAGACTGCCCAGGTCCAGGGCAATGGTATTTGACATCAGATCCTCAGTGCATGGGAGTAAATATGCCCCCTTCAGGTGTGGCACAGACTTGAGACTTATGCTGAGGTCAGGACTCACAGCTGCCTCCCAGGGCTGCTGTCCCAGATGGCCCCTTCCCATGCACCGGTCACTGTGGAAGGATTAGCGTGCGTGCGTGTGTGTGTGTGTGTGTGTGTGTGTGTGTGTGTGTGTGTCTCTTTGTGTCAGTTTTTCTGTGAAGCAAGCAGTCCAAGGGACCGGCAGGAGGATTTGATTATAACTGCCTAGAGGCATCTGATGCAAGTGAGCCCTGGTTTCTTGTGGTTGATATACTTGCGCAAGGAAAAGGAAGCTGAGAAGGAATCAGACAAAGCTGAGCAAGAAGCATGAAGGCAGGAGGAAATAGCTGAAAGAAGACAAAGGAGCCCAGCTCAGACACAGGTGGTTAGCAGTTCCTCAGGTCTCTTTTCGGGGTCCAGGCTTTGTGAGGCTCTGCTGGACCACAGGCATCAGCCACTCCTGAGGGAGGCAGCTCTGCACAAAGAGGATACAGTAGCTGGAATAGCCAATTCATCCAGCTAGGAATCTTCTGGCCTCACAGCATCTAAAGGGAAAATGCAGAAAGCAAGCCAGGATTCTTGATTATGGGACTCCCTGCGCAGTGCGAGGCCCTAGCAGAAGTTGGACATCATCTAAGAGTTCCGGCTTCAAATCTCAGTATCGTGTGGTCTTTGTGCACCCTCTTGTGGCATGAGCAGTGACTTGAAGACTTACCCAGAACAGGATCATTTCCACTGGGATTATCATATACCAAAGTCCATCCTCAAAACCTGGTCTCCACTCTCACAAAAGGACCACACACAAATGTCATCCAATTGAAAGTTCTATTTCAGAAGTCTTTTGTCTACTCTCATTATTCCAGTAATGATTCCGGTAAGCTAAACATTGTTTAAGTTTCAAAAGGCAGGAAACATACCAGAAAAACGTTTTTTAACGTTTGTATTATATGAAGCAATGCCTATAGAACAATCTATCATCTGTAAGCATACTATTTTTCTGTACTGATCAATAACTTCTCCTTTATTATCTCTCTTTTCTTTCCTGTCTCTTCATTGAGTTCCATGCATACCTCACCTGGGTTAGTTGATAGTTTGCAGATGAGGCAATTAGAACTCAAAGAGGTTATGTAACTTGTGTAAGATTACACAGTTTGTAAGTGACAAAGCCCAGAGTCCAATTCAGGGCTACCAGTTTGCAAGGTTTTCCACTGAACTTTGCTGTTTGCAGAAAAAAGACATACAAGATCATTTAGATAGATCCTTCCACCCACACAGAATTTATTGCTACTAACTGAATAGACTCCTGAGCAATGTTATTAAAATATTATTTTAGGTGTGACATTTTGATAAGAACATTTTTTATCTTTTTTTGAGACAGAGTCTCACTCTGTCCTCCAGGCTGGGGTGCAGTGGTGCAATCTCAGCTCACTGCAGCCTCTGCCTCCTAGGTTCAAGCAATTCTCCTGCCTCAGCCTCCCTAGCAGCTGGGATTACAAGCACCCACCACCAAACCCGACTAATTTTTTTCTTTTTAGACGAAGTCTCGCTCTTGTCACCCAGGCTGGAGTGCAATGGCGTGATCTCAGCTCACTGCAACCTCCGTCTCTGGGTCCAACTCATTCTCCTGCCTCTGCCTCCTGAGTAGCCGGGATTACAGGCACTCGGCTACCACCATGCCTGGCTAATTTTTGCATTTTTATAGAGATAGGGTTTCACCATGTTGGCCAGACTAGACCTCAGGCGATCCACCTACCTCGGCCTCCCAAAGTGCTGGGATTACAGGCGTGAGCACTAATTTGTATTTTTAGTAGAGATGGGATTTCACTGTGTTGACCAGGCTGGTCTTGACCTCCTGACCTCAAGTGATCCACCCACCTCAGCCTCCCAAAGTGCTGGATTACAGGTGTGAGCCACTGCAACCAGCCCGATAAGGGGGTTTCTTGAGTGACTTGTTGTGTGGTACAGTATAAACTGTCTCCTCCCTTCCCTATGAAATTATC